CGGGCGCTTTGGGCCGTGACGTCGACGGGTGTTCGCGGCGTCGGTGCGTGGCCGGGCTCTGACTTGCGAGAGCCCAGATCTGCAGCCAGGGCTTTTGCACTCGACCGGCGCTCCAGGGTGCCGGTGGAGCCTTGTCCAGTGTTAAGCAGTTGCTGCAATGAGGTTGTTTAGAAGCTTTGGTCTCTGTCAAAGCTGCGCAGCACATCGTGGTGAAGGAACCGTGGACCGGGACACAAAATGGGGTCATGGATATCACTGCTAGCTAAGTGAAAAAAAATGGAAGAAACCAGACATAGGCCGCATGCAACATGCATGGGACAAATGCACCATGGAATTTTTGTTGTTCTGTAGTGGTATTTAGATTATGGGTTTGTATTGCTTGGAAGAAAGAAATGATCATCAAGCAGTAAGTAGGACAAAAGAGTATCAGATAATGTTGCTTATCTCACTGCTCTGATCTTTTATCCTTTACCCGAGTTACTTTGTATTCTCTTGCTCCCATTGATTCCATCCTAGGTCAGACATTCAAAGTAACATCACAGGAAGCTACAAAGTTGAGTCTGGCATTCTCAAGCTTTCCACTGATTTCTGCAGAGGTGAGTGAAAACCCCCACAGACAGTGAAACTGCAGCACATGTGACAAGTTGCAGGTATCTCTTGGCTGGTTCATTTGACTAAGACGACGTCTTTTGATTCTGTGTGTACAAGGGATGTCCATACAGGCTATGCATTGTAGACTGTGTTAATCCAGTCCAAGAATTGCTAAGAGAACTGATTTCTGTAAATTAGGGAGACTTACCAAATAGAAGTATTCTTACATTCATAGAATCATGGAATCATAGAATAGTTTGAGTTGGAAGGGACCTTAAAGATTGTCTAGTTCTAACCCCCTTCCCTAGGCAAGGACACCTTCCACTAGACCAGGCTGCACAATGTGGTCTTGCACACATTCAGTGTTGAGGCATCTACAACCTTCCTGGGAAATCTGTTCCAGTGACTCACCACCCTCATAGTGAAAAAATCCTTTCTAATTTCTAATCTAAATCTACCTTCTTCCAGTTTGAAGCCATTACCCCACATCCTATCACTACAAGCCCTCATAAAAACTTTCCCTCCCCAACTTTCTTGTAGGCCATATTCTTTAACATCTGCAGCTGGTTGCTGATTGAGACAGGATATTGGACAACACAGACTTTAGAACTAACAAAGAGTGTGCTATGTTTTTGCTGTTAACTCACAGAAGTTTATCATACCTGTGTGTCGAGGAGGAAAAAAAAAGACCTCTAGTTCAGAATAATGATCTAAGCTACATCTTCCTCTCTGATGCGTGCTCACCACACCAGGGCATGTTTTGGCACTAAGTCTTGTGGCAGCTTATGATCTATACAGCTTGCTCACTGTCTTCTTGCACTGTGTTTGTTTCTCAAGCAAGGTAGCCATTACTGTGCTTCTGTTTTCTCAAAGCCATCTGAATGCGAGTGATTGCTTGCGGGACACTCTAAATGTAATGCAGCAGTTAATTATTAATTATTAATTAATCCTCATTGTTAATCCTGTGGCCTGTCCATTTTCAGGATTGTCAGAAGCTGAGTGAAGATGTCCAAAATGCCATTCTTGCAGTTGCCACAGTGTACTACTGGCTCCCCAAGGGCCAAGGTGAGATAGTGACAGCAGGAGAGTCATCACTTTATAGGGTGGTGGTTCTTTTGCTATATAAAGAAACCCAGTATTTTAGAGCTTAATATGAGGTCTGAAATCTGTAGGAAAATAAGTTATCATGAGCAGGTAGTCCCATTACTAGCTATTCTGTAGAGTTGCAGCATGTTTGTGAATAAACCACTTGTCTGTCTACTCATGCAGATTTCCATCTGTGGAAATGTGATAATTTAGGAAGTTGTATAATTGATCGAGCATTCATATTTATAAAGTATTGAGATTGTTGCCTGAAGTCCTTTTGGAACTGAGAAGTGCATTACGTCCTTCAGAATACCTGTAACTTCATTTATACAGTGTATTTGCACAAAGGGAACAGTCTGTGTCCATCTTGAGCAGCTGCTTTCTATCAGTGCTGACTTTGTGGCAACTTTCTTGCTCTTTCTCAATCTCAACCAGGTACTACTCTTCGGAAGATGGTACGAGATGCTACAACTGAAGTAGTGGAAGGAATGATCCAACTCACAGAAACAATTCTCAGTGCTTCATTGGAGAGGTAGGCAGGAAAAGTTACAAGTATACTTGTTAGGAAGCAGCTAGTGCAGACTGCTTCTGAAGGGAAGGGGGAGGCAGAGCATTATTACGAGTCGGGAAGAGACAGTGGCCACATCAGCAAAGGCCCTATCCCCCAGTGTCTGAGTGAGCAGAGCAGTGGTGGTGAAGCTAGTGAGGTTTAGTTGAGAGTCTGGATCATCAGACAAGCCTATAGGAATGACATCAAGCTGAAAAGTCAGGCCAGCAAGTCAGGATCAGAGTCAGGTCCAGAGAGAATAACCACCATCAGACACCATCCAGTGATTTCTCAGCATGTCCATTACGATGAGTTGGGTCTAAGGGCAGGGCAGGAAGGTCAAATCAGTGGGTCAGGATCCAGGTCAGAATCAAGGGAGTATGAGGCTGGGTGCAGATACAATTGCTACACAGCTGTGATTGTAGCACAAACAGAGCCCAGGGAAAGATCTCAAGGTAAAAGCATCCTCTAGGGTAGGGAAGGGCTGGTCCTCACTTCTGTCTTTCTTCATGATACATCCTGTCAGTGAAGGAGCTGACCTGGTATGTGCCCCAGTAAACTCTTCAACTGAGCCAACTAAAGTGGGAAGGTAGAACACACTAACACACTCAAGGCCCTGACAGTACCCTCTTGTCCCAGTGACTGAGCCAGGTACATTTGCCTACATGGAAAATAAATTCTCATCCTGCCAGTGGAGAGAAACAGTGCTGGCAACAGGATTCCCTTGAAGGTGTTGGATAGCACTTACACTGTTTGGCAGTTTTTGCTCTTGGAGTGACCTGCCATATGCAATGATTGCATGACTTTATAAAGCTAGTTATTGGACCACTGTGGACCACTTTGTCTCTTCGTGATTTACATACCACTGCCCTTAGGCTTAGGTCAGTAGTCTCTAATACAGACTTCTGAATTGCATAGGTTTTGAAAGATAAATGATATGCCTAACCACCTTGAAGGACCTTTGTAAGAGGCTTCTGCTCCTTGCTCTGATGGATAATTAAACTCAGTAGGAGCCAGCACTTCTTGCTTCACACAAACATGAGATACTAGTGACAAGCTGGCTGGTGACATCTTTCTAGCCGAGCTTCTAGTGTGCGTCGTCTTTGGTTGCAGAAAATAAAGAAAAACAGTCTGGCAGAGTGGTGTTATTGAGTCTAAATTTAGGGGACTTTGTTTCGTTTCAGCTTGACTCAGGAACAGCTTATATCAACTGGTGGGGTGTGGGAGGCATGTGAGCATGTGTTCAACCTGCCACGAGGTGAGTATTCTACATGCAGAACAATAGAACCAGGACACGTTTTCTTGGGATGTTAGTGTGTGAAAGGGATGTTCTAGCTAGTACAATGAAGGCTCGCTCATTCTGCAAAACCTGGCTGTGTTTTAAATGTGTTAGCTTGGAAGCCAGGCTGGATACTTTGCATTGCAGCAGTGCAGCCCTGAGCTCTGCAAAAGTTTGATCCTATGATCTCGAGGCCTAATGGTCACAAACCTAGATAATGTTGTTGCAAGCTGATTTGAATTAGTGCAGTGCCACAGTTTTCATCCTTTTGCATTTGCAGATAACCAGGCAGCAGTTGTGTCAGCTCTGGCTGCATGTCTGGGTGTGGTCAAGGATGCTCTGGAGGAGATGGAACATGTAAGGAAGCCCCTAAGCCTTTGAGGAACCTGCAGTGATGGATTGCAGTAACGGTTCAATGATCAAACACAGGAATTGTTTTATATAAAGTCTTTGATTTAAATTTTTTCTCAGGCAGTTTATTGTATTATGTCTGGATCTTAATGAGTTCTTAAACATAAGTCTGGTTTACTTTATGTAAGGTTTCCATAAAGCCTTGTCCTGAATAGCAGTGGGGGGATGGTGAGGGTGCCAGGACAATTTAGGTTGATATCAGAATGGCACTACTTGCCAGGTTTTTCCTATTTGCTCTGTTGAATTGGAGTGGGGCATTAGTTTTTCTTAATCAGCTCCTGCTAGGATTAACAGAATCTGGCAACTGAGATGATGACTGGAGAGAGATTCTTTCATAAATAGAATCATGGAATTGTTCAGGTTGGAAAAGACGTTTAAGATCATTGAGAAATTATTTGTATGATTTCTAGATTGTTTTTCCCTTTCCTCCTGCATATTCCTGGAATTGATGTAAGGCTGTGAGTTTTCAGTGCATCTGTGTTCTCAGGCTCTGGTGGAAGGGCAAGACCCCTACAGTGACATCATGGAAGATGAAGAATTGGGCTTTCGGGGCAACAGAGATACATATTGGTCAGAAGCTGACCGGAGGCTGCTTAGCTCCTGCATGGGATTGATGAAGGCTTCTAAAGCTTGCCTGAAGAAGGTCTTGGGTGTAGTGAAGGCTTACGGCAAAGCTGATTCTCCAGAGCAGATCACTCAGCTGGATGATCTTGCAGACATTGCTAATGAGATTAGTCCAAGGTAAGAAGGTTTCTCCTCATGCTGTTTTTTTTCTCCAGATCAGTGCTTGTCTTTCTTGGGGACTAGAGAATGGATTAGGAAAACCTTCATGCTACTGAAGCTGTGAGCAGGTGGTGAAAGCAGGTGTGATAGAAAGACTATTGTGGCATAGGCTGTTGAGAGTTGTGCAAGTTAGGAGAGGACCATAGGTTGCAGCTTGATATGGAGCCGTGGCCATGTCTGTAAGGTGGGAGTGGCATATACGTGTCTGAGAACGCGGTGAAAACCATCCCATGTATATGACTGCTGTCTTCCTGTCACATCCAGGTCTTGCACTTCAGTCACAACAACCCCAGGTAACGCTACAGGCTTGGGGATGAGTGGCTGGAAAGCTGCCAGGGGGTGCTGGTGGCCAGCTGGCTGAACATAAGCCAGTAGTGTGCCCAGGTGCCCAAGAAGGGCAGCGGCATCCTGGCCTGGATCAAAACTAGGGGGGCCAGCAGGAGCAGGGAAGTGATTGTGCCCCAGTAACTTGGCACTGATGAGGCCACAGTTTGGGTACTGGGCTCGGTTTTGGGCAGCACAGTTTAAGAAGGGCATTGAGGTGCTGGAGCGGGTCCAGAGAAGGGCAACAAAGCTGATGAAGGGTCTGAGGAGCATGGCTGCTGAGGGAACTGGGATTGTTCAGTCTGGAGAAGAGGAGGCTGAGGGGAGACCTAATTGCTTTCTACAGCTGCCCGAAAGGAGGTTGGAGTGAGGTGGGTGTTGACCTCTTCTCCCAGGTAATTAGGAACAGGGCAAGCGAAAGTGTGCTCAAGTTGTGCTGGAGAGGTTTAGATTGGATGTTAGGAAGAATTTCTTTACTGGAAGACTGGTGAGGCATTGGACCAGGCTGCCCAGGGATGTGGTGGAGTACCCATCCCCGGAGATGTTCAAAAAACATGTAGACGTGGTATGTCAAGACATGATTTAGTGGTGAAGATAGTGTTGGGTGGTGGCTGGACTTGATGTTCTTTTTTAGCTGTGTTGGTTCTATGATTCTATGCACTGCTGTTCCTGACCTACATTCAGGATGGATGTAGGTTTTGAGCAGGATCCAAGAGTGCACTATCAGGACCTCTCTTGCATTGCTCCCCTCTCTTACAGTGTTGATGAGCTGGCACTCAGCATGTATCCACCTATGAACCAGCTGGCTGTGCGACTGAATGTAAGTATCTGCAGCCTGCATGCACAGGTCTGCTCACTTGGCTGTAGGGAAGGGGAAGAAATCAAACTGGAGGGATTCTGTGACTGTCCGGGAGTAGACGTTAGTGACTGTCTCAGTAACAAGTTCTTAGGGACGAAGAGTCCCCTTTGGTCCTTGAACACTTAGCTTCCTTCAGGTGGAAATGCATTCCTCATCTTCTTCAGGGAAGAGCATGGCCACTTTAGGTTTGGCTCTGAACAATAATCCATGGAAACGTCCTATGACAGTACCTCAGGAAAGGGAAGTCTAAGGCTGCTGATGTACTGCATGTCTACTTTCCTCCTTGGGTAATGCAGACTTGATCAAATAAAGTTATCTAAATTAAAAATACAAATTAAAAATGGTCACAGTGAGCATTGTTTGAGTACTGAAACAAGCTGCTCAGAGAAGCTGTACAATCTGTATCTTTGGCAATACTTAAAACTTGACTGAGCAAGGCTCTGAGCAACCTGACTGAACTTTGAGGTATGCCTTATTTTGAGCAGGAGGTTTTACTAGTTGGCTTCCATGGGTCCCTTGCATCATAAACTAAGTATCTTCTTGTGTATCTGAGGTTTTTTATTCTTAATTCTAGTTACATGCTTTTGACTAGTGGCTTATTTTTTGGCAGGTAAAAGTATTTAAAGTGATAGCCTCCTTGTGCATCAGTATCTGTGGCAGTTTTACTCTTTCTTGGCTGTGTTTGGGGTTCCTTCACCCTCCTTTTTTTTCCAGTACTGCTGAGCCCCTTTTTTTTCCCCACCATTAGCTCACGTTATTTCCCTTTTGTTTCTTTCTAGGCTGCTAAGTTGGCCTCGGTATTAAAGAAAGTCTTAGAGATTACAAAGTGAGTATGAGCTAAAGTTTTGTAAGTGTGTGTTTTGTGCTGTGGAGGTTGATATCTTCCTGCCTCCTGTCAAAGATGACTCATTTCTAGGCAGTAAATTCTGGCATTTTGGAGTAATTAGGATGTTATCCCGTCATAAAGTGGTGGGGTTAAGAAAAGGATGGTAGAGATGAAGTTGGTTCCCACTGAAGATACACACATAAGTGCTAAGGTTTGGGACCCAGAAGCATGGATGTGGGTTCTTGCTCAAAGCACTCTGGGGTTAGAGCAGTCCTGTTTTTCTGCTGTAGTAGTTCAGCGCTTCACAGTCCTCGTGTGTTGTGTGGATGCATCGGTGTAAGACGTTCCGGAGGCTTTCCTAATGAGATCCCTCCACTTTTGCAGGACAAGCCATGTGTGTCCACCATCAGAGGAAGGCTGGGTGCAGTTTCTAACTGATGCAGTAGATCACAACATGAACAAAATCAAGAACTTCACACAGGGTCAACTTTAGCTCTTCTGTGTCTACACATGTTGCTGCCACTGGCTCTGGTATATGCTTTTCCAGTGATCTCCCTGTTCTCTGGTTACTGGGAGAATGATGAGAACACTGTTTTTAGGACAGAACTTTACTGTCACTTGGTAAAACCTTACCAGGAAGTTGCTTTTTGCTATTGCTGAAGGTGTTGTTTTGCATGGATTCCTGAGATATGGTGTGGTGCTGCATCTTAATGCTGTGAATGTGCCCCGTTCTTCAGGCATTACAACTACTGTGGGGTTCAAAGAACAATAAAATATTGCTAGAGTTGCATGAGTGACTTTATCTGTTTTCAGGTGGCAGAAGACACATACAGAAGGAAAGGGTGCTTTTGCAAGCAGCCCAATGAACCATTAAAAATATGCAGCACTGCTGCGATTTCCTGTCTCACCTTAGAATGAACTATCTTCTTCTATTTCCTCAGAAAGTGTTAGAAAGTACTATTTACTACTTTACCAACATCAAAGGGTAATAAGAGTCTGTCTATAGAGGAATGCTACATCTGTCATCTCTGTAAAGTTCTAGGGTATCTTGTTTTGCCACAAGAAGGGGAAAATGACTAAGGAGTGATGGGTTCAGAACGTGTACGTGTTGAGAAGTGCAGCTAAATGCTGGAGTATTTAGGCCATCTTTGTCACAGTAAGGTTCAGCTGACAAAGCTGGAGTGTGGACAAAGAGGCAGATTGGAGAGAGGTGAGTTTGCATAAATAATCAAAGCCAAGCATGGTTTTAAATATAACTTTAATTAAACTGTTAACATCTATGCTTTCCTAACATCAGGGCACAGATCATGACCCCTCTTTTGTAAACAGGACAGCAGGACGTGTTTGAAGTTGGGCATCAGGCAGCTGCAATGTTGGTAGTTTTGTAGTTCTTCAGGTTCTGGAGTTGAAGGCAAGTAAGAAGTGCAGTGAGTCTTCTGGGCCCCGGATGGGTGGGGGTGAATGGGATTTGCAGCTCTTGAGTTCTTTTAGGTTGCACAGAGCCCAACCTGAAAGGTGAGAAGGGGTTATACAGGAAGCAAACCTCTTTGTATTTCTAGTTCCCAGGGCCCAGGAGATGCATTTGCTAGACAGGAGTGTGGTGCCAAAAAAAAGTAAAGAAAAAAACAGAACCAGAAGAAGGCTGGTTGTTCTCTAAACTACCACAGTGGAACTGTGATCTGGTAGTAGTTTGGGAGGGAGATACAACAGGAGGGTTGAACATGATATGGAGGCATCTAAGGCTACTTTGTCCTTATCCAGTTGCTTGAGAGAAAAGTGTGGTTTCTTTCATGTGAAGGGGAGGATGCCTGTTTGGATGACTCTTGCCTAAGTTAGGTTTGCCTGGTTCTTCAGCAGAGAAGGGGAAGATGCTGTTAAAATTGTACCTGGGGACTGTATTGCTGACAGTAAGTAGTGGATGGAAAGATATGTCATAAACAGTATAGTTTTATCCCACTTGTGGTTATTCAAGTGGCTAGCCAAAAAGCAGTTGATTTCTCAACAGCAAGTAATTTCCAATGCTGTAGCTCATTTCAGTGATCTATCACTGTTGCCTTATTTAATGTGTATTTCTGCCTATGTCTTGTGGTACTTCTCGTTACACTTTGTTGTTGTCAGGGGGCTTTCATTCTTCTGTCTAGGCCTTTGGGGTTGAAGCTTTCACAGATGTCATATTAGCTTCAACTTATGTATTACACATCTGTTGAAAGTTCTGTTATGTGGCTTTACTCCTTTCCAGTGTGAAAATCTTCTGTATTACCTGTAAATAAAGGACGGGATGCCTGGGTACTTCATTCTGTAGCAGTCTCTTACTGCCACATTGTTGCCTGCTTACTGCTGGGGACAGCCTTTCCTGTGCAAGGCTTTCTCTAGCTTGTTTTGTGCCTCTTTTTCCATTTACAATACCTAGATCAATCAGTTTGTACTTACCTGTACTTCCTTTGTCTGTATATCAGTCCTCGCCCTGCAACCACTAGCACACACTTTTCCAAGGGTTCAGTGAGAGGGTTCAGGAGACTGATCTTTGCTGTGCTTGGCTGATATTGTACCATGTTATCTGGAAACTGTTGAAAGAAGGAAATGAGCTGAAACCAACAGGAGGAAAGATTCTTCTATGATTAAAGGGAGATAAATTATTTTTTTGGTGCCAGAGGTCTCAACGTGAGCTACCAGCTGCGAGAAGAGGCAAAGTTCAGCTTACTTTCTTCTCAGCTACAATCTTCTGCTGTAGTTTCCTACTGCAGCTTCTGATTTCTGACTGGTGAGTGAGTTAGGAGTTATCAGGATCTCCTTAGACTCACACATAGACAAGGTAGAAGTGGGAGTACTGTATGCAAGTGTGACACAACTCACCTTCTCCAAACTGATGCCTCAGTGCTTTGAAAGAAGACAGCATGAGGAGAGCCACTCAGCCCAGCAGAATTTTTTACTTCTTGAAATGAAAGTTTTTACTGCTATGATAGCGGGTTTTGCACGACTGCAGTAACAGAATAACAGACTGATCTAACCTCAATAGTGAGAGAGGGATTGCAAACGCTGATCTCTTCCTGTGCAAAGTATGTGTAGAAGGAGTCCTCATCTCTCAGCATGGCAGTCAGCCTAAGCAGATGGTTCTCTCCCAACTCTCTTCTGTACCATGAGTAAGGCACAAAGACTTGCACGTTGTTAGCTGGAATACAGAGTGGTGAAATACAGATGACAATGCAGATGGTAAGCAGAGTCCATAGCTTAGCTTGCATAGCACCTAGAAGCATTTAGTGCCCAACATTGTACTGAAAGCTGCAGCATTTAAGAGCTGGATTTGCAGATTCTAAACTTCTAAGGTGATGTTGTCTAAGTGTTTTTATTTCAATCACCTACAATCAACTATTCAACCAGCCTTTTGTAAACTTAAGGCTAAGTGCTTTTTTCCTGAAATGAGAGGACTAGATAGACTCTAGCCATGTGCCTGGTAGAGCCCTTACCTTCATTGCTTTTAAGGATAAAATGAAACTCTTCCTTCCAAGGCTGACTAACAGGCACACCATTATAATGTAGAGACTGGGCCCCAACTACCAGGTGAGTAGCCTTTTCTTCACCAGTGTGGTTAAACACTTCAATAGAAATTGGAACATCCTGTCCCAATGACAAAGAACTCTTTGACTGGAGGTGCATGAAAAGGTTGACTGGATCTTCCAGGGCAGTAGGAATGCAGCTAAGCTGTGTTTTGCTGCTGCTGCTGGCTGTCCCAAGTTTCTTTATCTTTCTGTAGGCTTTGTCAAGTACTTCTTTTTCCTGAAGAGAGCCTGTCACAAAAAAAGGGAGCACATATTTTAATATGCTTTCCTGTTTACTAATGTGAAGCAGTAAGTGCAGAAGGATGGCACTGAATTACCCTGACAGTACTGTTTATAACTAAGAGCACAGAGAGATACTCTGTTGTGCTTCTGTTTGGAACACTTAAAGAATTTCAGCTGACAGGACATTCATTGGATGTACCTGACTGATCTGGCATAGGTTTTAAAGCACCTTGGTGCTAACATCTGTCAAAGAGGTAGTTGCCTCCTTAACTGAAGCTGTAGGTAGTGTGCAGTACTATGTTCTTTTGTGATGGACTACAGCTAAGGAGCCCATAGGCTAAGGTAAGATGGTAGGGTTGGATCAGGGAAATAGCACTAGATAATAGATTCTGAAGGGAGAGCTGCTTTTTGAGGGAGGGATTTAAACAGTATCTGGGAGCACGACAGTCTTTTTCAGAAAACTGGAGTCTGAAATCTCTCTCTACATATATATACAGGTGTAGTAGGAGGTGAATGTACAGAGTGTTCAGGCAACAGAAATTGGGGAAGAAGGTTTTCCAGATGGGAAAGTGGCTGGTGAAGAAAGGCCTGCCCTTCTAGAAAGCTTGTTAATGTAGTTAGTCGGATGAAATTTGGAGTGTGACCTGTGGTTTAATTCTGTAGACAGCAAGAATAAGGTGTTCTTGTGCCATTCAGGAAGGGGAAGTAATGAGAAGTGGATGACCCAAGTGCTCTGATACTGCTTTACGTTTCAGTCCTTTGCTCTTCACTTGTAACACTGAGATGGAATGTGCTCAGTCACTTGCATATCCCTTACCCTCTGGATACTTGTAGTTGTGTGTTATATCCTCACAGCGTTCACTGCCCACACTTTTGGTGCTGATGTTGTTGCCAGTGTACTTTGTGCCACCAAGAGCTGGCTTGAGGATGTTGTCTGCTTTTTGTATCCAAACCTGGCACTTGGCATTGATGGCAGTAAAGAAGTTGCAGACATCATAATCAACTTCTGTGTCCCCTTCCTTGATGGCTTTAACAGGGGCTGGCCCACAGAAGGATGAACCTGAAGAGAAAATGTGGCCTGGTTAATACTCAGATGCTTTACCAACTAGACCCATGCCTAGTATGGATGTGTACTAGGAGTGGTGAAGAATCTAGTTTAGGAGGACATTACGGAGCAGTGCTGTGATAAGGTTCTTAAGAGTTACACAAGCTGCACAAAACAAAGAGATGAATGATGATTTAGTCCTTAAAGTCAACAGGGTGAGTCCCTGGAAGTTGGGGAAGGGCATAATACTGAACCACTTTACTTGTACCCATCCTCCAACGCCAGTCTTTGATACCTTACCTTTGCTTTTTTCCTGGCAGGTGGCATCCAGTGCCTGCCACCCACTGTACTCTGGTAGCAGGTCTGCTCGAGCCATCCAGCATTCGTTCCAAACGTGGAAGGTCCTGCAAGAGGCCACATCACATGCTTATATCAAAGGACAGCCCTGAGGTACAGTAAACTTTTAGCCAAACCACAGCTAATTAATGTTCATTTGAAAGAGCTCAGTGTGTGTTGAGGAGAGCTGAGACCATGTTTTTGACACAAGTGTAGTTTCTTCACTTGGACTGGGCTACCATTGTTCCTTTGTGGGCCTTAGTAATTAAGCACTCTTCAGTTTGGGTTGCAGTGATTTCTTAAGAACAGGTCATGTGAACAGAACCTTAGCTGAGCTGCCTCCTGTCCACTTCCCTGCAGCTCTTTACATCATTCTTTTCCCCTGTCTATCACTGCCTAGATCCAGGTACGGTCTCAAATTCTTGTTTGGGCCTTGCCATGTTTTCTTACCAGATACGGGCACTGTTGTCTTGTGTAAGCAGTGTCCCATCTTCATCATAATACTCATCCACGTTCAGGCTGCTGTTGGTGTTGTGAGCCCATGTAAAGCCTGTGACCACCCTGGTTGGAAGGCCGAGGCACCTCAGAACTGCGCAGAAGAAAGAGCCGTGAATCAGTTGTGCATCCTG